AGGTTCTTATGGGCACAAAGGAGGTGGTCGTATAGTTAAGGGAGGCCATGGTAACCCTATGGGTGGTCGTACTAGTGGAGGAGGTCGTGATTCAAGGGGAGGTCGTGGCAGAGGAAAGGGGAGCACTACTAGGAAATGCACACATTGTGGGAGAGAAGGACACACAGTTAACTTTTGTTATGATTTGCATGGCCCACCATCCACATAGGCTAATCATGTAGTTGTTGATGGTGGTGAAGTCAATGATACTCAACTAGTTGATCCAACATCTTCTACAGTCACAACTACTTATGGGAAGGAGATGATGAGTATTCCAAGAGAGAAGTATGAGAGATTCCTTCAGGCCACTTGACATCAGAATACTGCCGCCCTTGCTCATTCAGGTATAGCTTGCCTAGCATCCAAAGCTTCACCCTGGATAATTGACTCTGGAGCCTCTGATGACATGACCGGGACTCTAGGTGTGTTTTCCTCTCTTTCTCCAGCCTCCACATCAAATAATGTTAACACAACATCTCTTTCTTTGTCTTCTGTTTTATACGTTCCCAAGTTTCCTTTTAATCTTATATCTGTTAGTAAACTAGCCAAATCCCTTAATTGTTCTATCACATTTTACCCTTCCTCTTGTGTTTTTCAGGATCTAACGACAGGGAAGAAGATTGGTGGAGGGCATGAAGCTGGTGGATTGTATTACCTTGACGGTGGTGGTTCTATAGTTGCACTTCAAACCTCTTTGACTCCTCTTCAGTGGCATTGTAGATGCGGTCATCTGTCTCTTAAAGCTCTCAAGCTTCTTGTTCTGTCATTGAGTCATTTGTCAGTTTTGCAATGTGAGTCATGTCAGTTTGGGAAACATCGTCGTGTGTCCTTCAGTCCAAGAGTTGAGAGTCGTATGTTGAGTCCTTTTGATTTAGTTCGTTCAGATGTTTGGGGTCCAATCAGAATTGAGTCATAATGGTTACAAATATTTTGTTATCTTTGATAATCCTGGAAGGTATAGAAGGCTAGTGGGGAAACTAAATTATCTAACTATCACTAGGCTCGATATCTCATTTGCTATCAGTATGGTAAACCAGTTTATGCAGAGTCCTCGAGTGCCTCACTGGGATGCAATTCTTAGGATTGTGCGGTATTTGAAGGGAGCTCTTGGCCGTGGGTTACTATACAAGCCAGGAGGTGATCTTGAAATAGTTGGATACACCGACGCTCTTCTGTCTTTGTATACTAACTTGTTAAATTTAAATAGATGGTTGACTGGGTTAGACTCTTTGTCTTCTCAGTTCGACACTCTTCTCTTCTTCCTCTTCTTCTCTCCCTTCTTCTCTCTTTTCTTTCTTTGTTCTCAGTTCGATTAGACAGCTTTGACAGACTCAATTAAGCTTCAACCTTCAGAGCTTGCTGATATGCATCCTTTACCTTATATGGGCAATGTAGGCTGACCTGATCTTGTGTTGGCAACCTTAAACCATTGATATATCTACTAACTTTTTGTTAAGTTTTTGTCATGTTACTCCAAATAGTTAATTTGTTAAACTCTTTTGTGTACTCCTTTACACTCTTTTCCCAATGCCTTAAATTCTGCACCTTTTGGTAGAGAGTTTGCTCATAATTTTTCCACCAATCCAAGGCTGTCCCACGCATCTTTGCTGTTACAAGTTTCACTTTTCTTTCTTCATTCATTTCTTTCCAATCAAAATAATTTTCAATGCTGTCCACCCAGTCTAGAAACTTTTTAGGTTCCAACTCACCATTAAACTCGCTAATATGAAGTTGAACACCTTGACCTTGATTGGATTGTAAAGCCTGCACTATTCGATCTTCCCACCGTTGGTTGTTATTCCTTTCATATTGATCACCTTCAGTTTGCTCAATGTCTTCACTTGATTCTTCACTAATAATGTCAATTGGCTGTTCATCAACTCTAGGAGCTTGTCATCTTCTTCCTAGCCCCAAATCACTTGCTACATCACCATTCCTAGCAGCATTTTGAGCTACCAGTTGAGCAAGATGCTCAATTTGTTCTTGCAGCCCTCTTATAGCCTCTTGGAAAACCTCTACAGTGACTTGTTGTGGTCTTCTACCACCCCTTGCAGCCATAATAATATAGCAAAACACATCAAGGAGATGAACTTTGAAGTAAGCCCAAGGAAAGAACTTACTTTGATACCACTTGATGTGGATAGAAAAACAAATTACATGCAACACTTAAAGAATACAACAATAAGCACAAGAAAAACCAAGCTGAAAACAACAAAACAAGTTGGATTTTTAGGGATTTCAAACCTGAAACTGAAGTAAAACTCCTCCTGGAACAGTTCCGCTACAGTAACATCCGTAGCATGCTGGCCTCTTGCACGGACATGCAACAATAGAGGAATCGAAAGGTGCCAAAATGGGTTGACTCCTCAAAACCCAAGTTCCCGATACTTGATGTGAATAGATCGATTAGCCCTAGATTAGTTCTAGGTAAGAAGAAGAAGAAGAAGAAGGAGAAAAAGAGAAAGAGAAGAAGAAATGGTTCGGTCTAGAGAAGAAAAAATCACTCTCTCCTAGCCGACCCACTTGTATTTATATTGTATATAAGCTGAATTACAAAAGACTGTATTCCCTCATTAAGTATGGGACACATAACTTAAACTTAAACAAATAGACTATTCACTCTCAACTAGATAGACAAATGACCAAAATACCCTTGTACTGTCCACTCTAACACTTGAAAACCTTAGCTGGGGCTGAACTACAACTTAATCAAAAGAGAAAGAACTAAAAGCCCCTATAGAAACAACCCCCTTCTCTTTTATAAGACACAATGGCTTGCTGGACAAGCCAATTAAAATATTTGCACATAAGCCCCTAGAATGTTTCCCTCTCACAAGTCACAAGAAACTGCTTAAGAACAAAACTAACTTCAAATGAACCCCCAAAAGATAACTTTTGTTACAAAAGACCCAAGAGACCAAAACCCAATAGATGTGCACCCAACTGCCCTTGACCAAAATGTCAAAAATACCCCTGGTCCCAAACTGTAAAAAAGCTACCCAAAAACAACAATTTGTTGTCCTACTACAAAATCATGCAAAACAGAATACATTCACTTTTTTCTTTTTTTTTTGTTTTTTTGCCTCATCATTTAGATTCTTCTCCTAACTTCTATCTTGATAACATCCAACTCGTTCTCAATCCTTGTATTTATAGAGAAATTATCTCATGATCTTCCAAATCAAGCTTTTTGACTATGGTGCCATTTGACAAGTCTTTTTTGGAAAGATCTTCTGGAAGATCTAACATCCAAAAGATGTAGTGGGCTTTTATATAGAGATCTTGGCAGCCTACAGACCGTTTGGTTGGAGGCATGTCTTTTCACGTGAAGACGAGACAAAAAAAGGTGATAAGCTTCATTTTTAGCTTCCTGAAATAAGCTTGAATCGAGATTTTCATATCTTTTTGGGGCTAAGTCTTTCGGCGGCTAGATCTTCCCCCAACCAAACGAGAAGAGACAAAAATGCCGGCTTCCGGGCTTCTAAAGACAGTCTGTACAGAAAGGTGCTCCAAATGGGACCTATGTTATCCATTTATTGGGTTGACATTCTTTGAGAGTTTCAAACCCAAAGGGTGTTACAATCAAAAAACCTAATTTATGCACTAATTAATTTGATTAAATTCTATGAATTCTTTTAAAATTAAAGGATTTAGATGCTCCTTCCGGGTTTTAATTTTATTATTGTAAATTAAAGATGCTAACCAATATCTTTTGAAAGAAAACACAACAAAAGCTCAAATTAGAAGAAATTAACGTGGATGCCTGGCTGTTATGATTCTGGGATTACCCTAGTCATGCAGTTGCCCGATCTGCTATATATTGTGCAGCTGCACGGTTATGTAGACAAATGTTTAACCATGTATGGTAGCTGCTCAACAATTGATGCTTCCAAAACTCCTTAAAAACATCTAATGAAGCCTCTATTTACATGTTCAAGAAGTTTTTTCTAATCTGGTCCACTTTACTAAAATGCCCCCAATAATTCTACAAGTTAGGCAGATGATAGAGGGTCAAAACGGGGAGTCTACAATGGTTTACCAATGAAATTTAAAATTTTGCCACTATATATAAACAATGCATCAGAATCATTAGGAAAAAAATAGATTCTTGAAATATTTTGTATCAGTACCTGGCAAAATGGGGAGATTGTGATCATAGTTCTCCAAATATCACCAATATTGTGAACTGTGCTTCTGCAATCTGCATTAAAATGAGTTAACTGCTTGTTGCTCCTTCAATTCAATAAATTACCTCCAACAAGAGTTCAATAACCAATATAGATCTTTTATCATCAATTTCTCAAACCTAACCAGCATCTTTGTAAGCTTCTACATTAAGATGTCTATGATTAGCAAGCAATAATTTCTTGCTAGGAGATGACTTCAAGTACCCAGGTACCAGTACCTTGTTAGCATATTCTTGCTGTGGCTCCCATGGAACATGCTTTTATTGGCTTATAACCCCAGCCAGATATGCAATGTTAGGCTTAGGTCCAGTTAGAGACAAATAGAGAAATCTTCCCACTGACCTCTGAGATTTTCATACCACAAAGTTACTGATGATTAGGATCAATTTAAGTGCTAGTTTAGCTTCCAATTTCCTTGGTTCTTTCAATAAATCCAACTATATCCTTTCAGGAAAAAAAATGTCCTTGGCAACTTCAATAGCCAAAAAATACTTAAGTTCACCTTGATCCAAGGAATTTACATGCTAATTTCAAGCTTAAGATTTTTTTTTTTTTTTTTTTTACATCTATCACAAACATTTTGAAATGACTTTCTTTTCCTTTGTTAACACATGAAAGAGCCATTACCAAATGTTTGTCCTAGCTACCTGGGATCTTCAGAGTGGTGGACTGGATAAGGACCTGAACTTCAACATTTTTTGTATAATAACTCCAAAACCTTATGCTCTCAGATGGACCAAATTGAATCATTTTAAATGTTTTACTGGTTTACAGATTCCAGTTTTGCAATCAAGTGTGGTGGTCCAGAGCTGACAGCTCTAGATGGTGTAGTTTTTGAGAGGGAAAATAAATCTCTTGGCCCAGCATCATACTATGTAACGAACACAAGCAAATGGGCTGTTAGCAATGCTGGGATGTTCTATGACAGAAAGGGATCATTGTACACCCAAAACTCTTTGGCACAAATTACAGGTGGAGGAACATTAAACTCTGAATTCTTCAGGACAGCAAGACTATCTCCAGGATCATTAAGATACTATGGCCTGGGTTTGGAGAATGGAACATATAATGTAAGCCTACATTTCGCTGAAATAGGATATGATGATCAAAGTTCACGCACCTGGAAGAGTCTTGGAAGGCGTGTTTTCGATGTTTACATACAGGTATGCATGATATGATGGATATCTTGTAAGATAAAAAAATCTTGATCATTATGCTTGTCTATATCTTCCCCTAATTCAATCCCTGATTTTCAGAATTTTTAATTTGAGTATATAGGGCCGTTTTTCATTTACATCCCTAAACTATTGCTTTATATTTTATGTAGTATTTAGTTTAATTCAAAGATTTTGGACATGTGGAAGCCTAGAAATGACTACATATCCCACCTTCCAGGGGTTGATCTGGTAAGTTCCCACATTACTGGGGAATATACCCACACTAACCCTCTTATCACCAAAATAAAATATATTAATTACTAACTGATAACTAACATTAAAGAGGAGTTGGGAAAAGCCTTAACCCCTTCCTAGAGACAACCTTAATTCTATTCCACCCTCCCATTGTTGGGGTGCAGGGGTGCGCAAGCTGTGGAGAGGGTGACATAGACCTTCTGTCACATGCTAGCCATCCGAAAGATTAAGCAAACTCAATTCTCTATTGGATCAGTTCTAACAGAAATAGGAGAATGTAAAGACACTTTTTTTTGTTATTTTTAATCCATATCTACCATATATGTTCCTAAAGAAACAGAATTTAGACTCATACAATAGAAGTCTATCGTGATATAATTAAGTTTGACTTGAAAGCCAAATAATCCACATACAATGATTCTTTAATCTACATATGATGGAAAATAAACTCAATATATGGTCTTAAATAATGTAAATAAATCATTTTCTAGTAGGGGCTTTAAAACAAGTTTCCCTAGACAAAGCTAAATATAAACAAAAAAAACAAGGTGGATAACTAATTCTTAATTGAACTGATTTAAATTACAAGAATCATATAAATCTTAAGATTTATGAATCAAATCATAGGATTCAAAAAGAATCATAAGTTTTTCGTAGAAAGGATTCAGACATAAGATTCAAACCAAAACCCTTGGAATTGATGATTCAAATTGTGAAACATATCATCAATTACAAGATTTTGAGAACATTGAATTGCATTACAAATTTGAGCAGAAATTTTCTGCAATGGATCATAAACTTGAGAATTAATTGCCAGGTTGGAAGGCTTTCTTACAATGAAGGTATTGTTATTGGTTACAACTTTTTAAATACCACATATAATATCTCAGCCTACTTCTTTGGCACTGAATTTTCAGCTCTTTATTCCTACACTGCCCTCTATTGCACCTATTGTTATATTGTAATGTTTATTGTAGGGGTATTTAGTCTTTTTCTGTTATGTTCTCTCTACTATTTATCATTTCACTTATTTAGGGGTAATAATGCAATTTCAGATTCATTAAAACAAATAAAGAGATGGGCAGCAGTTGAGAACCAGTTACTTCAATCTTGACTGGGTTTCAGCGCTTTTTTCTTCTCCGAGTTCTTCTTCTCTTCTCTCTAAACTTCTATTCCTACTCATTATGGGAATTTTCTACACTTTTTCCTTTATTTATTGTCACCAGCCCAGTTTGTACAAGAGAATACACCAGAATTCTGGGGTGTCTGACTGAATGAATGTACAATTACAGTACAGCATCAGGACTATGATGTATATATAATGTATGTACAATTACATAAAAGTCCTTATAGGACTAAAGAAGAAGAAAATAAATAATGTACAACGTACAACTGGGACTATGATAATACAGTACAGCATCAAGACTCTTCACTCTCCCCCCCAAATTAATGCTCATGAATTCACATCAGTTTGCTTATAAGAAAAAAGTGTCTAGATATCGTCATGGCCTTTGTAAAGATATTGGCAATCTGCATATCTGAGGCAACATGAAGAAGAGAAATGAAGCCAGCAAGAAGAAAGTCTTTAATAAAGTGGCGATCCACCTCAATATGCTTCACCCTCTCATGGAAGACAGGATTAAAAGCAATCTTTATTTCACTGGTGTGGTCTGCATACAAAGGAATAGGTGTAGATAGAGGAAGACCAAGATCTTCAAATAGTGATTGAAGCCAAACATCACTTAACATAGATGACATTGTCCTATATTCTGCTTCTGTAGATGACTTGGAGGCAGTTTGTTGTTTTTTGCATTTCCAGGAGATGAGGGAATCACCCATGACTACACCACCCTATAGTTGAACATCGGGTGTCGAGGCATCCTGCCTAATCCGCATTAGCATAGGCCCTCAACTACATAAGAGAGGAAAAAGAGAACTGTCCCTGTGATAAAGTACCACGGACATAGCGAATAATCCAATGGATAACAGTCAAATGAGGTTTACGAGGGTTAGAAACAAATTAATTGACAACCTGAACTGCATGAGAAATGTTAGGATGAGTCATAGTGAGATATATAAGAGACCTCACAAGTTGTTGATAGAAGGAAGCATTGGTAAGTGACCTTCTGACTTAGACAACTTAAGATTTAGTTCCAAGAGGGTATCGACCTGCTTTTTATCAATAAGAAATGCTAACTTGACAAGACCAAATGCATACGTGTTGACAAACAAAATATTCCCAATGACTACTTTGGACTTCAAGTCTTAAGAAATAGGTAGGAGTGCCCAAATCTTTCATGTGAAAAGAACTGTGAAGTAGTGATTTGAGTTCTCGAATTCCTTCTTCATCATTTCCAGTCGACAACATATCACCTACATATAAGAGGAGAATTGTGATACTCTGAAGCCTTTTTCGAACAAAGAGAGAATGATCAAAAGCACTTTGACTATATCCATCACCAACAATGACATGTCAGAATTTTTCAAACCATGCTTGAGGAGCTTGTTTCAGTCCATATAATGAATTCTTCAACCGGTAAGCAAGAGAAGTATTGGCTTGCTGTAAAAATGCATTTTTCACATCCAATTGACAGATAGACCAAGAGTGTGCAGTTGAGAGAGCTATAGTGATTTTAGTCACAAGAGCAAACATCTCCTCATAATCAATACCACACTACACTCCTGTGTATAACCTTGAGCCACGAGACGAACATTATATCAATCTAGTGAGCCACCAGACTTCAACTTGATCGAGTAAACCCATCTACTCCCAATAATGGAAGCATCTGAAGGAGTTGAAAGTTGAAACAAGGTCCCAAGTGTCGTTTTCATGCAAGGCTTGAATCTCTGCATCTATGGCATCTCTCCACTAAGGACTACTATTGACTTACTGGTAAGAATAAGGGATATCTATGAAAGATAAGACAACAGAGAAGGAGCTATGATTTGAAGGGAAACCATAAGCTGTTAAGTGGTTTAGAAACATAAGTAAAACGACACAAAGGAGTAGAGGGAGCAATAGGGGTATCAGAAATAGGAGTATCACTTACAGGGGTAATGGCAACAAGGGCATCTAAAATTGACTAAAGATCCGGACTGGGAGGAAGGGGGTCGTAGGTCTAGGATCTGAGCCATGAAAACACTTACGAGAGAAGACAAGAAGATCTTTTACAGCATCTGAAGACGAAACATCTTGTGAATAAAAATCATACAAGATAGAAATTGATGGTACAGATAGTTTGGCAACTCCAAAAAACAAAGAAATATGCTCAAGGAAAACCACATTCCGAGAAACACGAATACGACAAGTAGAAGGATCATAACAAAGAAACCCTTTGTGATTAGGACTATACCCCACAAATGCACACATAACAAATTGAGGAGAAAGTTTAGAATGCTCACGAGAAAGGAGATGTACAAAACATACACATCCAAAAACATGAAGATTAGTCAAATTGGAGTGTAACCAAATAATTTTTGATGAGGAGACATGTTAGCAAGAATAGAAGAAGGGACACAATTGATAAGAAACACAACTGTACTAGCTGCCTTTACCCAAAATGATGGAGGCACATGTGATTCTTGTAGAAGAGTTCTCACAACATTGAGAACATGTCCATTCTTACGTTTTGCACACCATTTTGTTGTGGAGTGTTTGGACAGCTCCGTTAAATTTGTATTCCATGATTCTTCAGATAGGATAGAAAATCTCCATCACAGTATTCTCCCTTTGTCAGTACTTGAAAAGTCTGCACTAGGTGCAACTAGAGGTGGTAGAAGTTGCATCTATGGTAGAGATGGCAACACCAAAGGAGGTGGTCGTGGTGGTGGAGCGAGAGGAGGTTGTGGTGGTCGCAGAGATGCAAGCATTAATGGTCATGGTACTAGTAGTTGTAGCATAGTAAGGGAGTGTAGTTATTGTAGAGGACATATAGGGAATTTCTATTATGATTTACAGGGCCCTCCATCTACTTGGGCATATCATATTGTAGTAAGAGAGGATGGTGCATTGATTTAAAAGGCGCACCTCAAGCGCACAAGAGGTGCATTTTGGGGTATGCACCTCCCCCATGTCCTAGGCGCAACCCTTTCAAAAGGCGCACGCCTGGTGCGCCTAGGCGTGCGCCTTGCGCCTCAGCCCAGGTGTGTGCCTTTTTAAAATTTTGCGCTTTTTGTTGTTTTTTGTCTAACGACTGGGCTAATGTTGTTCATTCATTGCAATAAAATATCTTCTTAAAAGGCAATGAAAGTTATAAAATCATTATTTCTTATGTGAGAAATAAGAATTTTAGATCCTAACATAGGCTTTTTCAGGCTTGCCTCAAGGGGCGTGGTACAAAGGCGACTCATAGAATCAAGAATGCAATATATTTTACATCACATTAGCTACTTGAAGAAATGCAATTAAGGAGAAAAAGAGATTGCGGGTTTTACATGCTTGAAAATGCTTTATATGTTTGCTTTTATTTTTAAATTTTCATTTGAATACGCTTTACATGTTATGTTTATGTATTTTAATTTTAGATAATAGGTTTTTTAAAATATATATTTTAAAATTTAAGTTTATATTTTTTATTAACATTATGTTTAATATTTTTTGAATTTTTTGCATTTTTTTTGAATTTTTTTGAATTTTCTGCCTTTTTATTTGATTTTTTAGCTTTTTTTTGGCCATTGTGCTTTTTTTGCACCTTGCATTTTTTAAACACTGGGATGGTGGTGCTATAGGTGATGACTCCACTATTTTAGGATCTAGGAAGGAGAAGGAGATGGTCTCAATCACCCAAAAAGAGTATGAGAAGCTTCTTCTTCTGGTATTATTGTAACCCTTGCAAAGTTAGGTAGAACTTGCC